AGAGAGAGAGAGAGAGAACAGGAGCTTTGGTCTTTTGTCTGTCTCAAAGGGATTACTTTTCATTTTTGGAGTTGTAAATAGTTTGGCAGTGCGAGTTTGTTATGTAAACTGCATCTGAAGGCCATGTTTCACTATTTTAATGATTATTAAAGACTTGCTTGCTCACTATATTTGGTGGTCACGAAAAGTCTCAGGTAAGTTATTCCACTGCCAGCACAGTAAGGTGTGTCATAAATCTATCTCGACATATCAAATAACTCATTTGTTTGAATGCATCTTGGTGACTGCCACTTTAGAAAAGTAATATTCCTTGACTGTACCTCAACATTTTTACCAAAGTATGAAATACAAATCTGGATAAGCGGTCTGTGGCTGTTTGGAGACAGTGGGCAGTAGTTGGAGGGAGCATGCAACACATGTTTAGTCAGTTGCTTTACTGTTTTCTCAATGTCACACTGATCCAATTTCCTATGCTCATTAAAATAAAATACACATGTCTCCCTCTGGTGGCGAACTCAACACTCTGCATTTTCTTGTTGGTTCTCATCTTCAACTGGTTTAATCTATACCTTTTGTGCTACCATCACTGTGTATTGTATTTCTAATGGGGAGTAATACTTGTCTTACATCTGCATCTGATGTCTGATCTGCTAAATACATGTGAAGATATCACCGCTACAGAGAGAGAGAGAGAGAGAGAGAGGGAGAGGGAGGTGGCACGGTGAAGTGAAATAAAACCTCTTTTTTTCTAGTTTAGTGCCAACTGCCAGAAGCCCTGACCTTAAGTGTAACTCATGACTCGGTTAGCTACCCCGTCACAGTTAACCAGATCATCCTACATTAAGGAAAATGAGAAGTGCAGCAATTATGGGAGAATGGGATCAAATTAAAAGCCTTTTAGACATGGAGGAAAGCTTGGCTACTGAGGAATTTAACCGAAGGGGCTTTGTGATTGTTGGCTAATAGCCAATATATCTGGATGATAACCGAGCTTTCAAACATTAGTTGTTCATCTATCACAGTTTGTTTGCCACGCCAGCAGGCGAGGGAGAAACCCATGCAGGTTGATGGGTGGCATGTTGTAATGGTGTCTTATAGTTAGTCGAAATGATGATTGAAAGTTGCACATTCTTCCCTTTTAAATTCTTCCATCCACATTCATCAGAAGTGGATACCATTCAATCCAGTTAAATGTTCATAAAATCAGATTAAATATGAAACTTAAACCTACATGCATGCTAATTGTTTCAGATCCTCTTTTCTGTTTGTATACTAAAATGACTCATTTATTAACAGCATATTTTAACAACCAGTTACTTATCTATGTTTTCATTTCTAAAATTGTAGTTTGTCTTGTCTTTATGCTTTTTTATCTCGTCAGGCCAGCAGCTGCTAATGTTTTTCATTGCAAAATTAGACTATATGAAAACACATGCCCGCCCGCACGCACGCACACTCCACCCGTTCCAACTCTTCACCTCACATTAAGCATGATGCCCACCATGTGTCCAGCTGTCAGTTAAGTGAAGCAGACCAGACTCTCAGTAACAGAGTAAGAAGCCACTCCACAGTATGCGAGTGTTTTCCATCATGCTGGCTCAGCCTCTTCTCAGTGTTCCTCCCGCTGCCAGAAATGCAAACATGTCTGCCCTCCTCTTATCAGCCGGGTCACTGACACTCGGAACACACACAGAACAAAACAGGCATCCTCATTAGGTCTGTTTATTTTTTGTTAAGAGACAAACACACCAAGAGGTCCTCGAAAATAGGATAAAAAAAAATGTCCGGTCCAATTAAGGAATTAGAAACAGTATGAGAAATATACATGCAGAGTGAATGAACTTGGATAGATATCTGCAGGTGTTTAGTTTTAAACCTTTTATTAACTGTCTTTTTTTCATTTAAGCCAGCAGACATAAGGTGGCAAACACGACATTTAGATATTGTTGATATGGGGAACATTAGCATGAGGAACATTAGCATTCATTTGGAGCCATGTTTGTGGCCACTTCTCGAACGTAAGTCCAATATTTATCTTCTTTTAGCTCTGTTTTTGGTCTCTATCACCTCCTAAGATAAATATCTTTAACTTCTATATGCTCCACTACATTCACCTGCTAGTCACTAACTTTGTTTGGTACTAATCAGGTTTTGTACAGTGGGTTTATCGGAGCTCCTCAGCTGTAGACAATGTTGATAACAGCAGTGACGGTGAACCCAAATATCAAAGTAGCAGACTTTAAAACCAAAACAATGAGCTGAAAAGCACTTAAACGCTAAGGAAACAGTCACTTCATTCATTGTTGATACAAAAATATTGATTACAGCGGCTTTGAAGAAACCGGCTTCAAAATGCGAACAGTGGGTCAGATAGGCTTGGATAATTCCGTCTAAAAAAGTTAAGAGATATACCTTCTTCCCACTCTGCTACTTTTTTCATCTTTTCCTTTCCTGGTGTTATCTCTGTCCTCAGGCTTACCCAGAAGCCTTGCCGCTGGTCTAGGCCTCCAAGTGAGAGACGCTGCTTCATGCTCTCTCTTTGGTGAAAAAATAATGTCATTAACGCTGCCTGGACAGCTGGCAACTTCTGTGTGGGTGTTCTTCTGACACAGCAGACTTGTTCAAACGGCAGAATTGCTGATCAGCTTATTATCCATGCTGTCTTAAGTTCGCCTTTATGGACCTATATGGTGGGGAAGTCGGTAAGTGATGACAATTGCGTCCCAGGAAGCACAGGGATAAACCGGTGAGATAAAACCGAGATAGATCTGTTTACTACTCAGACATTCATTTGGTGGTTTGACAGGTGGGATTCATTAACTCCACAATCTAATGTGGTAAACCCCTCCTGAAGCATGCGCCGTAATCCCTGTGGGACCCTTCATAACTCTGCCTGCTCTGCTTCACCCATCCGAGGGCCCTAATCAGCTCTAACTGTACCCCACAGTGTACACATTTCTCTCTCTGTTTCTCTGCTTGTCTGCTCGCCTGTCTTCTATCTGTCTATTTCACCCACACTGCTCTTTCACAGCTGCCACTCTTGTCTTTATTCATTATTTACACACTCTCTCTCCGTTCTTTTGTGCTGCTCTCTGACCAGAGTGCCGGCTGTGTAGGAGGTGCAGCTTCTTCTGTCATCCACACATGAGCACATCTTTGAGCCTCGGATCTTGTTAGACCTATCACGTCCATGTGGGATCACAGAAGACCCGCGGTCAGATTCAGTTCCCGGTACCTCTGTGTTTAACGCTGCCTGATACAGACGATTCGCCTGTAGGCATGCCGGACCCCTCTCTGTTCCTCCTCGCAGTCGAGCTGCCCAGGGGGCTTTCGGTCAATCTTTCCACGTCGTTGCATATTGTACTGCATTCGACCGGCTAAGCCCTTATTGCACTGGTTACCCCCCCACCAGACTCTCAGCCCCCCCAGGCAGCTCCAGGCCTTCACCCTGACCACTGCCTCGCAACTCATGACAAGCACATGATGTGAGAATGGCCATGGCTCAGGTATTAGCTGAGACAAAAGCTAAAAAAAAAAAAAGAGGGGCAAAGGGATAAAGGCGAGCTTGTTGCACTGGTGAAACATTTTCTGTTTCGGTTGTTCCTCCACGTCAAGTCTCCCGTCCCCCGACTGCAAACAGTCCCACACAATGAAGCAGATGTTGAATGCCGTAACACTGCATAATCCGTACACTTTCCCAAACAACTGCTCCTGAAATATGCATGCACAGAAACATACATTGCTTACCGGGTTACACTGCTGTGGCAGGCAAAAGAGCAACAGCATGATACTCTTTTGCCTCCCGATGCAGCGGACTATTAGTATCCTTCACACAGACGTTTTATCAGGAGTCGACAGACTTTTTTTTTTTTTTTTTTTTTTTTTTGGTCACATGCAGCTTAGCAGAATTTGCTTGACATTTACTTTCATGGTGATAAAAAAATTTGTGGGTAGAAAAGCATGCGCTGAGGATAGCGAATACATGTTTTTAGGTTGAAAGTGAGCATCTTATCCTTGTAAAGCACAGAGTCTGTTATGTGTGTGTGTTTGTATGATAACAAGCGTGGTGTCTTGTCAATTTGTGGTGTAAGCGAATGGTATGGCCATTATTATAATTACTTATTCATTTGTAAACAAAAAAAAAGTCATCCTCCTTGTCTCTCTTAACATTTCTTCGCCCTCATTTCAGTCTCTTAACCTCATGTGTGTCTCTCTCCTCTCTGTTTTATCCTCTTCAATCCAAGAACCCCAGTGACACAATGAGCCTTTATACTCTACACGCTACACCATATACTGTAGCTCTGTTCATATTATATCGCAGCAGCTTCCACACTGATGTGTTGTATCGCCCTTCTTTTCCATTTTTCTTTGTCAGCTCAGCTTTTGATTAGAGAACAAATCGCTTTTCAACATACACTCTACCCCCTCTGTGGGAAGACGCTGGGAGCTTCAGCTCCTGCTGGGACCCCTGAAGTCTCTCCTCTTTTCTTCTTTCTGGGTTTATGGAAGTAGAAGCTATATAACGGCACTGTATTGTATTCAGTCTTATTACAGCACACTAGTCTCAGCCTTTAGTGTTGCCAGTTGGAGGATATTTGGGTTTTCATGTCTCTTTACATTTCTCAACGGGCAGTAAGAACAACTCTGAAGCAAGATAAAGAAGATGTGTTGAAATCCCTCTGTAATGTTGTCTTTCTTTGTTTCTCTCTCTCTCTCTCCTGGTGTCTTCCCACAGACACCTTTGAGGTCCTGATAAGGCAGGCAGAGAATCACACGAATGCCGTCCTACAGGAGTCGTACGGCGACATGGCTGACCAGGCCGTGGGCCCTGTGCGGGAACTCTTTACAGATATCAGCCTCTTCCTGCTGGGGTCTGAGCTCAACGTTGATGACTTAGTGCAGCGATTCTTCGACGCTCTCTTCCCGCTGGTCTACAATCACCTCATCAACCCAGGCCTCAGCGACATATCGCCAGGCTACGCTGAGTGTGTAAGGTCATCCAGCCGGGATGTGAGACCGTTTGGTGGGGTGCCCAGCCTCCTGGCCGACCAGATCGCCCGCTCTGGGGTCTCCGGGAAGCTTCTCCTTCAGGCACTGCACCTCGGCATCGAGGTCATCAATACCACAGACCACTTACAGCTGAGCCGGGAGTGCAGACGGGCCCTGCTCAAGATGCACTACTGTCCTCACTGCCAGGTATGGATGCATGTCTCTGAAGTGAAGTTTATCGATCTGAATTAATCAAAGTCTTTTCCAGCATCACTGATCCCGAAGTAATTTGCTCCACAGGGCTTAACCCAGTCCAAGCCCTGCATGGGTTACTGCCTCAACGTGATGCGGGGCTGTTTGGCAAGCATGGCGGAGATTGACAACCACTGGAGGGAGTTTGTTCGCTCGCTGGAGGGCCTGTCGGCACGGATGCAAGGACCTCAGGATTTGGAGCAAGTGCTTCTGGGAGTTCACACGCTGCTTCACGATGCGGTCGGACACGCTCAGAAAAATGGACCCCGTCTCTCAGCACAGGTCAGATCGTCTGTGAGGAGAGATTTATATTGTTTCAGATGGTAGACTTGAAACTGTAATGAGGCTCTGTGGGAGGTGAAAACCGGTACCACCAGTAATCGCAAGAAGAGATAAAGGATAAAGCACTGTAACACTTTTCTATAAAGCATTATAAACATACTAATAATCCATTGTAATCTGCTTATAAAACACTGTATATTTATTGTTATAAGCACTCATACATACTGATAATGCTTGATAACAATAATCAGAATGATTATACGATCAAGTGTCATAATACTTCATGATTGTTGTATTTATAGTATTCTCATAGTTGTAAGGTGTATATATATACTTTTTTAGAATGCATCATAATGTGATTAGAAGTAAGATTAAAATTGTAACTTACTTAAAGTAGACTATGACCACTTAGAGTGACTTATAACCACATTGTATAATAGCACAACAATAATTATGATACACTATGATCCTCACAAAAAATGTGACCATTAATGTTGAAGTATTATGATACTTGACCTTATGAGTCATTATAAAATGCTTTATAATATAATAGGACTATTGTTATAAAGCATTATGGATATTTCTGAGTGTTTTTAATGCATTATAAGTATATTTAAAATGCATTATAGACATACAGAAAGTGATACACTGCTATTCCAGCTGCCAGCAGTACCTCGGATAAGTATGTGGTGTTGAGCAAATTACTTGTATGTGCTAACCTACTTGCCAATAAACATGATTGTGATTGTGATTCTGAGACCAAAGTTAAATTGCGTGAAAATGCACATATCGCACACAATAGGTTAGTCAGACCAGAGCAGGCCCAAACTCTCAAAATGCAGCTCCAAGGCAGTCAGAAACGTTCGAGTTAAACTGCCATGAAACAAAAGTAATCTGTTAAAGTCCAGTCATAAAGCATTAACGTGTAACTTTCTGTTCCCACATTATGGTGTTTCTGAAACGAATGCCTCAGGATGTTTTTTCCGGAACTACACTTTCTTTCCCGCTCTGATAGATATGCCACAGCTCCATTCAGTGGTTGTCTAGTGTCACTGCTGCTTGATAGGCTTCACATGTAGTACATTCAGAGAGATGATAGGCTTGGCTGCACTAATGGCCGTAGTATAAAAACCCTGTCACTCAAGCATTAAAATAAGGCTTATTCGTCATGCACCAGTACAATTTCCCAAGCCTTAAAATGCATGTTTCTCCCTCAGTGTTTCGACTTAAACCTTGGTCTGTCTCATCATAATAGGTGCACAAACTGTGTGGTCCACCAAGCAGGCGGCCTGCGCAGTCAGGCAGCATCCAGCGCAGCAGCAGCAGAGCATCCATCCCTCTTAAAGCTCTTGTCAGAGCGTCAGGGGACTCGCTCGCTATAAGGAGGAGGTAAGTGGGTGAAAGACTCCAGATGTGTGCATAGAAAGAAGTGCCATTTTCCGATTTTAGTGTGTTAAGTCCACAATCAATATGTAAAACACCTTGTTAAACAAGTTAATTATCTGTGTGCACCATCTGTGGATGCTTTTACAGGGACTTTTTGAACAGCCTACGTCTCTACCGTACGTTCTACGGCGGCCTGGCGGATCAGCTGTGTGTGAGTGAGCTGGCCTCTGGTGACGGGCTGTCCTGCTGGAATGGAACCGACATCGTAAAAAGGTTTGTTTTGAAATGAGTCAATACTACAGATGGGGCGACAAATAAAACAACATCACGTGTGTCTGTATGGGAAGGAGCGAGTTACCACAATCCTTCAGAACAGCTTCAGTGCTTCTTTGCAAAGCTTCACAAAACACATTGGTTTAAAGTCTCCCACAGGTCAGTGGGAGTTTGAAAATGATTCACACCATTGTCCTCAAACCACTCAGTCACCATTCATGCTTTGTATGAAAGTCTCTACATGTGTTGTGTTTTTTTCATTGTCATTTATTCAGGTGTTTTTCATTAATTTGTCTCAGAAATAACTTACAAAGCGCACTCGATCAATGCTTTTACTTACTTCACGTGGATGATTGACCCTCACCGTGCAGAATGACATATGTGCACAGTTTCACAGTAGAAGATTGTTTTTACATTCCTCTGCTGAAGGGGAGATTGTCTATGTACTCACCTTAAATCTGAGTTCAAGATGATGTGCAGCAGGATTTAATAAAATCCCAACTGGTCGGGAAGCCTATTCTTGTCCAGTATGCAACTTATACATCTCATGTCCAGCGGTGAAACTTTTGACTTTTGAAACAATCTTTGAATATTCATAGTTTTTTGATTTTTCAATGAGATTTCTAATGAGGTAATAATGTGCTGCCACCAATGTAGAATTCATCTATTAACTGTTAGAGCTCACAGACATAGATCTTGGATATGAATGGTTGTGAACCGGAGCAAACAAACTGTCCTCTTTCATAGTATCAGTCAGCGGCCTTGTCTCCATTACATCACAGCTCTCCATCTCACCCGTGCTGTCATCACTCAAGGACCCCCTCATTTATCCTCAGTCTGTGGTTGTTCCTCTTAACTGTCAGCCGCTGTCAGCGCTGTAGAAATGGCAAGTTGGCCCGTATTTCAAACTGCGGTGAGGTTGTAGTCGCCAGTTCGGGTTAGACAGCCCATTGTAAAGGATGACAGCTTTGTTGAGATCATTTCACAGCTGCTGTGTGAAGGTAAGAAAGAAGGAGGGTGGAAAAGAAGGAGGCCCTTCACAGCCTTCTTGGCGACCGGAGAGATTCACAGGCATTCTGAAGGATGTGTGGTCGGGTGTTGCTCATCAGAAATCGCATTACTTTGAAGACAGAGTCTCAAGGTTAAGTTTCATTCTAGCATTGACAATTTACGCTTTTCATCTTTTTGTTATTTTCTGATATAACACCTCAAGTTTCCATTACAAAGGAGGCAGCCATCTCTGAGTATAGAGATGTTTCTCATGTACTGGAGGAAGAGGCAGGCCAGCAGGCTGTCTGTCATCTCTGCCTGCAGCTTCTGGGAAATGTTTATGGTCTGTGGGCTTCTCTCAGCTCTCTAACCCTCCTTCCTCTTTTCCTCATTCACACCAACACTTATTTATTGGGACTTGTTCACCTCAGGTTCACTCACAGGTTTTCATTTTGATTCGGTCATTACCAAAAAAAAGTAGAGGAAGAAAGCTGGGGAATTGAGAGGCATTAAGAATCTGGGGAGACGTGGCTCTGGGGAGCAGAGTCCCTGCAGCTTAGCAGATTTCCTGCAGATCTACAACCCTGTGCGGCTTTCTATTAGCCTAGAACCATAGATGAGTAGCTGGGAGTCAACACAAGCTGAGACAAAAGCGATAAATAACCTCCTGCCTACGGGTCATAACCCAACATCCACTGAGAGAGAGGGGAAAAAAGTCACTGCTGGATGGCGGCTGATTTACAGAAGCTCATTGAGGCCTCAGAGACCTTAAACGATCAGTTGCTGTGTGTGTGTGTGTGTGTGTGTGTGTGTGTGTGTGTGTGTCAAACTGTACATTTGAATGAGTGTGGATACCTTTAATAGCATCTCTTTGTGTGTGCTGGTGCAGATTGTTTTATGGTCTTAAAGGAGTATTGAGTTGTGGCAGAGCTTTGTCTTATTTAATAAAAAAAGAAAAGGATGAGCAAAAAAAAAAAAAGAACACAACACAGGGGTCTGAGATTGAAGGAATATGTAATGCAGGTCCTCATCTGGGTACCTGGTAAACAAAAAGGTAAAGAACAATCGGATACAATCATAGAGGAAGGACACAAGTTGCTTTCATCTCAATGTCTGTGTGAAGGAAGATGATAGGGTCTCGCTTCAGGGGGGAGTTGGTAAACACATTCTTTCTCTTTCTGGTTCGTCCCTCGCTTACACATTCATACTGGGAGGGAAAAAAGATTGGACATTACATTCTCTGATTAGTATTATGATTATTTACAGTTTTGTCCTCTTTTGTGACTGCTTATTTTAACTAAAATAATCCCACACATTGCATTGAACTGTGCAATGGATGCTAAATAAGAAAAAAGAAAATCCAATTTACCAAAATTACAGGACAACGGGCTTTATATCGCACCTAAATACTCTTTTGTTACCATCAGAAATGTGTTTGTTGAGTACCGAAAGTTGGTATCTAATGCTGCATAAGATTTGCAGTCTTGTTTACTTATTTACTAATCCAGTATTTACTGATTTAAAGCTAAATTTGAGCATTTTTAGCAGTTGGTCACTTGCGTTGGGAAAACAATTTAGACTTCATTAAGCCTTCAATAATTGATTTTTGTGGCCACTTGGGGGGGGGGGGCAGTGGAAACAAGCCGTAAACGACAATGACAATTATCACCTTTTAACAGAAATGGCACCAAGTCATTGCTTTGGAGAACACAAGTAAGTCCTAAGTCTTTGCACTCCAGTCCCAATCAAGTCCCAAGTGGAGACTGACAAGTGCTGAGTCAAGTCCCATGTCCTAAACTTTGAGTTTTGAGTCCTACACGTCAGACCATTTGTGTCTGTTTGTAATTTTCCACCCATGCGTTTTGCATACTGCCATTTGTTTTTTGTTGACCATTGCATACTTTTTGTATATGTACCAAATTATCTTTGGTCTTTGTCTATTTAATTTTCTCCAACTAGCTCTAAGTAACATAATGTTAGCTCTTCATGGTCAAGTGGATCTGAGGAATTAAGTGTGGTCTTGTTGGGAATGTTAGTTGATTCATGGCATACTTTTAAGATATTGCGGAGGAAGTCACTCTCCCTCTGTGTGTTGTTGTCAGAGCTTCTCCTTGCTTTGTTGACATAGCCGGGCCTGCTGCACATGCTTTTAGTGCATGTAAGGTTATGTGAGCGTATCCCACTGCTCTCATACGACAGTAACGGCTGATAACGCTGATAACGCTGTTCCGACCGTCAGCGTCGTCGTGGAAGTGTAGCACCCACCCTCCGGTTCCCCCTCAGGTAAGCACTGTTAGCTCTGTCAGCAGGTTTGAAGCAGTTTGTAATGTTAGCCCTGTTAGCATCGTTAGTTGTGAGCTCGCCGTTGATATGTTGAGAGCCATTTAGAGGCAATTGAAATAGGTTCTGTATTGTTACGTCCTTAAGTTGTTGTGATTTATGTCACTGGACAGCAAGAGGTAAAAAAACCCAGTTAAACGTCCCTCAAACTCTGGAAGTGTCGGTGATCTTCTTTTGTTGGAGACATTGTCCACGTCTTGGCAGAAAGGTTAACGCTTTCCCACAAGCTTTCTCTATCCATCATGGATACACACACACACACACACACACACACACACACACACACACACAGACTGAAGGAATGCCATGTTGCCATGAGCTGCAAACACACACACACCAGCGACCATCTTTTTCTGTGTTTCTCTTTTGCAGTAACAGACTGACAAAGACCAAATTAGTCAAGGGATTACAGGGATCCTCATTCCTTTTCAGCTGCCGCAGCTCTACTTTCTAATTCAGTTTGACAACTGATATTAAAACTTATATGTGAGCGTGTACGAGGCAGCACATTTATTTTGGAATGTATTTTGCCATATTCTTGTCACCCTTACAATGAGAGACAACAACCAGGAGTTATAGCAGTGCTAAAAAGAGTGTGATGTGTTATTCATGATTACCTCCTCCGGTGTAGACTCGCTTTAATTTATCCCCACCTGCAGTTTGTCTCACGGCTGCCAACACACACCAGGTGTTTGGCGGTGAGTGTACATTTTCAAAGAGCCTTTTTTTCTAATTGAGTACAACAGTTTTTGTTTTTTTTTATACAATTTCTACGATAATAAGGCAACTGACCTTGCATGCTGTTGGAATTTAACTCGGGAGGAATGAGCACGGAATGCTACAGTTTTGAAAAGATGCCTGAGGACATGCGGGTAGATTTGAGTGTGGCCTTTCGTTTAACAGGCCACCCTTCATGCTGGAGTGGCTGTCTAAGCACTGACCTTTGACATTTCCCGTGTCTGTTCGCTGCCTGGTTAATCTTGAAGAGGTTAATCACATGGTAATAAGAGCCCTGGAGTTGCAGTGCAGGCCTCTCTTCAGTGTGTGGCCAGTTGGCAGAGGAAAGGTCTGATTCTTTAAATCTAGGTCTATGCTGCTCTGTTCATATCTATTTTATTCTTTTCAAATGGCGGTTTCCTCATTTTCCTATTTCGTCATTTGTCTCATTCTCGCTTCCATCCCCCCACTAGATGTGGAGCTCAGGTGATTTGCCTTGGCTTAACTGAAATGACAGCTTTTAAGCTCTGCTAATAGGAATCCACTGAAGAAGCATCAAGAGCTTAGGTTATCCCAGGCTACTCGGAGGATGTGCTTCCTCATTTGAGGGTTGTCTGAGCCTCACTGCGAAACCCACATGGTGTTCCCATCAAGGGACAGCATGTGTTGAATAATAAAATATATCTTCACTCTGAAACTTTTTCTGCTTGTGAGACCCCCCCCCCCCCCTTGTGGCCCCTCTGCGCAGGCTGCTCGTTTCTCAGAGTTGTTAGCCAACAGTCAGTCATAATTCTGTTTGTGGTCCGTGACCCTTTCCCTCTTTTACAGCTCAAAAAACATACTTCACATTGTAAATCAGCTTGATGCTTTTTGCTAATTTTATAACAATTGGTTAATAAATCCTTAATTGATAAAGGAAGTATTTTCTCTTTTTTTGAATGCTTCAGTAAATG